ATACCCCCATAACATAAAAATAAAAATAAAATTAATTTTTTTTGAAATAGTCAGAATACTATAATACCACCACCATCACCGCAACCAAACACCACATTAGAAAAAAAAAATTGCAAATAGTCATGGCTAACCCATACTTATATGTCCCAAACGCCACCAGAACAACCACCACCACACTAAGACTACACCACTGCAATACTCCTGGTTTTGAAAAGGATATAATCGGAATTTTATTATTTATTTTATTATTTTCAGTATTTATTTTATTATTTTTAGGTGCTTATGTGGCTACGTGTGAAAATTTGAATTACGTGATGTGAGAATTGATCAGTTGGTTTAATTTGATTATATGTTTAATTTGTATTTAATTGGCTTACTTGTTTATTTGTTTTATTTTGATCTCATTGTTTTGTTTTATTTTAATCTCACTGTTGTAAGGAATTGTTTAATTAGGTAATTAAGTTAAATGAGTTTTTTTTTTTAAATACGTTCAGTACTTAGGGTTTTGAGGAGTCACGTATGTTGGCAGACGTAGATTTTAAATAGGGTTTTCTATGGGCCGACTAGGATTTAGTGTAGGGTTTGAATTGAACCTAGGTCTTGTGTAAACCTATAAATATAGGTATGGAGTTCTGCCTAGGGTTTTAGAACCCTATTCACGATAGTGGAGGCAGGGAAGGAACAGAGGAGGATTTCCTAGTTCGCCGGAGAAACTTAGAAGACGACGTTGGGATTTTTGAACCGAAATCTCATAGGCAAGTTCTAATCCTAACTCTATTCCGTTGACTTGTATTCTTTGCATGTCTAATGCAACTCCAGGGATATATAAGGACTAAAAGTAAATTGGTTTGCATGTCTCTGTTGATTAAACTGAACGTAGCCATGAATGGTACTACTTGTTTAAATCTTTTGTATGTACCTCATAAATTAATTCACGTAATTGGATGTTTAATTCATGTAAATTGCTATACAAGAGGTTGAGATTTGTTTATAGCACACTAAGAAGCCTTAATGTTACTCTAGTTCACATGGTGGACTTAGTTAGAACCGTGTGTGTTCTTGAAGGGAAAACTGTTGTTCTAACATTTGGTTGCATAATTCTTGATCCGATGGTTGGCGGTGAATGACTAAGGCATTTGATTGTTTCTGGATCATACTGGAACATAACTTTAACTAGTAGTAGCCTTAGAAATTTAAAACGGATGCGCTGGACGTCGCCGGAGAGGACATAGATGGAGGAAACAAGCAGAACGGAAGAGAGGGGGAAAGAGGCGGCTCCCCACAAGGGTGGAGCAGGCTCTAGGGCACTTGGAGGTGGCTCCACACCCTTGTGGAGGCGGCTTCACTTGTTTTGGAGCCGGCTCCATCCATTTTTTCTTTATTTTTTCATTTTCTGTTTGGTTTTATTTTGGGTTCCAATAATTCTGTTGCTTCGGGTTTTAAATCTTGAAGGTAACAGGTTCAGTATAGGCTGGGTTGGGAGTAGTCAGAGGGGTTCTAAGCTCTATTAAAACTTCAGTGAATAGGCTAATGAAAACTTAAACAAAAGGTGGTTTTTGCTTAAACCGTAGACAGAGTTAAAATAAGTTAGATTGTGGTGCATGGATGTAAAGGAGTTTAAATAGCTAAATTTTAGTACAATAATTCTCAGTGATGGATTATAGGGTATATGTTTCAGTAATCTCATATAAGTATGGAAATATACAGGTTTCTATTTGTTTCGATGATTATAATTGAACAGAAGATAATTTTAATAAATTGGTTTACTGTTCCGGGAAGGAAAGGATTTGAAATTGCTTAATCTTAGTGTAGCAATCTTCATGGATGGTTTTGTAGTTATTTTGGGTTCCAATGTCTTGAAAATTAAGCCGGTGAAGTTATATACTCTGTTGTGCTTACTTGGAATAAATTGGTTTACATGTATGTTCTATGTAGTCAAGTATTGGATCTTGGATAGTTGTATGTATAAGCCTGTTAAATTATAAGATTTTATCATGCTTATTATGGTACAATTGATGCTTATAATTAACATAATATTATCAATTGTGGACCTATAGAATAGTTGGTATTTACTTATATAACTGTTGTATTGTCAATCAATTTGGATGATGGCTTGGAATTAATTGAAGAATTAATTATGTATTTTCTGTCAATTAACTGGATGGATGCTGGACTTTAACTTGATGAATTATTAAACTTTGTCTCGTTTAGTTACGTGAATGGATTCTGGATTGGATGTTGATGAACGGTTTAAATTCTGCATTTATCAACTATTTGGATTATGTGGATACTGTTTGATGTACTGTATAAAATGTTGCATCATTTACGGATCATTTGCATGTATGTACCGGTATGGGACAGTGACATACGGAGGGACGGATTAGATCAAAAACGTTAATTCCAACCCATTCATACATACGGAATGGATTAACTAAAACAGTTAAATCCTCCATGGTTTCATGTCCTGTCAACTAAAACAGTTGAACGACATATTGGATGGTTGTTTATATTTTCTGTTAGTAGAATGGATAGGGATTTAATTAAAACATTTAAATCCTAATTTTATGTCGTGTCATGGCAACGAATTGTTGAGCGGCACTACATTGGTTTGGATGGGATTTTATATATAAAATTATGGTACCGCGATATGAGCTTGAGTCTCAGAGTCGACGGTTAGGGAGCGTATATGCAGTAGGATGCGTAGCTGGCTATGCTGGTTGAGGTATACCCTGTTAGGTATAGGTACTCATGCCCACATTTGGGTGCGTTTTCGCATGTTGCCTTCTATTCAGGTTAAGACCCTCCTCATAGGCTAGTGAGAGTCCTGTAGTGTGGATATATTTATGTATAGACTATTAGCTATTGTTGAGTTGGTTAAAATGTATATGCGTATCGAGTCTCTACTTGGATTGTAATAGGTTAGAACTTGTTCGTGGGCTTGACCCACCTCTATTTTTTAGGTACTCATTAGTTCCAGACTTAGACTTGATCGTGCTGAGCAGAGACTACTACTTACTCTTCGACGATGTAGGACTTTTCTACATGGTTTACTCTGGATGTTTTTAAGTCGTTTCCATTTCAGTTTGGATTATTATTAGGGGTCCATTAGAGATGGATTCCCGAGTTGTATTAGAATTGGAGAAGTTGGATGTATCAGATTAATTCTTTATTTATAAAAATTTTATTCTGAGATTTTCAATTTGTTGGTTTATCATTCTAGTTTTTTCAGCAATTTATTTATTCCTATTTTCTTAATTGTATTATGTGTTCGTTAATTGCTAATTGGTTTGATATCCTCGGGTAATCAGGTGTGGGCCTGGCCAACCCGCATTCAAAAATTCGGGGGTATCACAACCACCAACACACCTAGACTACATCACCAACACACCTAGACCTTGCCAGAACCACCGTCACCATCACAATAAAAAAAATAAAAATTTTGAAACACCCCGATAACTTACATAGACACCACCACAATCACCACAACCACACCCAACCTACACCATAATAACCAGGCACGAACCCAATATGGGACCAGTGGAGGCGGATCCCACTGGATTTTTTATATTTTCATTTTATACCTTAATTTGTTTAGAATTTACGAAGATGCCCCCACTAAAATTACATTTTACCCCCACTGAAGTCTTTTTTTTTTTTTTTTTTTTGGGCATTTTATACTTTAAATTTTTAAGAATTTCTGAAATTTTCCCCACTAAAATTACAATTTAGCCCCACTATTTTTTCATTTTATTTTATTTTTTGCATTTTATGCTTTACATTTTTAAAAATTTATGAAAAAACTCAATTGAAATTATAAAAATGGACTCACTATATAAGTTTGCCTCCACAAATTAAAAGTTTGGCTCTCCTCACAAAATTTTCTGAGTCCGTTATTGATAACATCCACCACCACCACAAACCCACCACAACAGGAAAAGAAAAAAAAAGAAAAAGAAAAAAAAGCAGCCACGTCTGAGATCGGGAAGAGAGAGAGAGTGTCGGCGGCTAGGTATTAAAATGAACCCAAAAAAAAAAAAAAAAAGTTAACAATTATGGTAGAGAAAGATGCTTAATGATGAGAATAGTTTAATCAATTAACATAACCAAGATTTTGTAAATTAATTGAATTAAATAATCAGGGACAAATATGACATTTGAAACACAGGATATCATTGTTAAAAAAGTCGTTGCCCTGCATCCAGTGACATTGACCGAAATTTCAAGAGGGTGTCAATACAATTTATCCATAAAATTAAAATTGAAGTATTGAAAAATTTAGGAGTTAGAATTTGAATTAACTTTAAAAATAATAAAAAAAAATGTTAATATTTTTTTAAAATTTTAAGTTAAAAAATAAATTGATAACTCACGTTGATATCATTTAAAATTTTACTTCGTTACCAATCTCGTTCAATTGAGTTATTGAGCAACAACTATAGCTCTTTTAAATAATAATCAACGCCATTTGATTGTAATTTCATTTCAGAAGTTAATTGTAACGACCCACTCCACCACATGGTATGATATTATCCGCTTTGGGCCTGAGCCTGCACGGTTTTGCTTTTGGGCTTCACCCCAAAAGGTCTAATACCAATTGGGCCTGAGCCCGCACAGTTTTGCTTTTAGGTTTCACCCCAAAAGGCCTCATACCAATTGTGACAGTGTCTGGGTCAGGCTCTGATACCATTTGTAACGACCCATTCCACCACATGGTATGATATTGTCCGCTTTGAGCCTGAGCTCGCACGGTTGTGCTCTTGGGTTTCACCTCAAAAGGCCTCATACCAATTGAAGGTGACACACTTACATATAAGCACTTCTACCCAGGCGATGTGAGACTGTGCATCCATAGCTTGCCAGTGTGGTAGCCTGACAGTAACTCTCGCACCCGCCCACGGCACACCCGCCCACAAGGTCATCACATTAATAATACTTTGGTAATTATTATTATAATTTTTTGTAAGTTGTATAATTTCACTTTACAAGTCCGTAGTTTGGTAAATTTGGAATTGTTTTCCTAAATTCCTACAAAAATAAGTAGGAAAATTCAGGAGAGAGAGGAGAGAGAAGATGGGGGAGGTGTCCGGAGACTCTGGTTCCATCAATGCAGCCGATGAAACACCGAAGCAGCAGCAGCAACAGGACAAGGCATGGCACACCTACATCTCAGAGGATCTGCCCCGAACTGTTCTCGAATCCACCGACTCAGCGATTCGCTCTGCTCGTACTCTCCAACACAACTCGTCCGATCATCTTCGTAATCTCCAGGTACTTCATTTTCTACATTTCCAATAGTGTAATATATTCTCTTTCATTCTAAGTTTCATTTACACACAAGCTTATCGTGTTCGTATGTAATTAATTTTATCGATTCTGGGTTTCTGTTGTTTTATGGTTTATGGCTTCCTTGATTTTTGACCTAGTATGTTCTTACCATTCCTCATGTTAATCTGGGTTTTTATTATAATGCTATGAAATGCATTATTTTGTCAAATAATGCTATTTTCAGTCTACTTTCTCCAGTAGTTCCTAATTTAATGATCCTCGCATTGTGGGTGTTTAGTTCCCAATCTGGATAATATTGTTTAGCTGGTGACTATGACCGTCATTGGGCCAACTATGCTTTATGGAGCCAGAGTGTTGGGCTTTAAAAAAGAAACAAGAACAACACCTGAAATGGGAATGCTAAGATGGATGGTTGAGAGGCTAGAAGAGATAGGGTCACAAATGAAAGTGTAAGAGAAAAATTAGGTGTGGCATCCATCAACGAGAAGCTAAGAGGGAGTAGACTTAGATGGTTTGGGCATATAGATGTGCCGCCGATGAGAAGAGAGTTTAATTCTCATAAAAGGTTAAGAGACGGAGATGGCGACTAAAATTAATGTGGGATGAAGTTATTAGAACTGTCTTTAAAAAATTAAACATAGTAGGTGGAATGGCAGGTAATAGAAAGGAATGGAGACAAGGAATTCATGTTGCCAATTCCATTGATATGGGAATAAGGCAATGACGAGGATGATGATTATTTATGTTATATTTCTGGAAAATTTCACTAAACACAAGCTTATTGTGTTCATATGGAAAATTTCACCATACACAAGCTTATTGTGTTCATATGTATTACCTGATTTCAGGTTTCTCTTCTCTTATGGTTTATGGTTTGTTTGACTTCCATCAAACTCTATTCTATCTTTTCGTAGTGTTAAATTCATGAAATGAGTTTTTGTTTAAACAATACTATTTATTTTTTTTATTTTTTTTTCTTCAACCAAAACTCTCTCCGCATCGATTCCCATTCCAATGCTCTTCGCACAACAGAATTATTTATTTATTTCCCAGTAAGCTCGCATCACATCATTTGCCTCTTGCAAAAGTAATTATTTTTCCGTCATGAATGGTTAAGTGATAAACAAAAAGCCCAACCAGACTAAAATTTCGATGAATGTAAGTAGGCGCTTTTGCAGTCTGTTTGGCCAGAGTTTTTGTATAAGAAGGACTTCAAAATTAACTACTGCGAATTTGCTTCTGAAATGCTATAACAACAACCTCTGTTAAGAGTCCATGAGGTGTCATATTCTTTTGTTGGCCATAAAGGGTAAACCTAGTGCATGAGGCTCCCACCATTGCGGGTCTGGGGAGGGTTAGATGCACGCAGCCTTACCTCCGCATGCAGAGAGACTGTTTCCTTGTTTCGAACCCATGACCTCCAGGTCACAATGGACTAATGGAGCAATCTTTTCGTTGCACCAAGGCTCGTCATCATTCTTTTGCTGGCCATATAAATCAGAAAACATAAAGGAAGTCAACCAAAATTAATCTGATGTTTTGTTAAGAGAATACAATAAAGTGTTATAAGAATGCCAATTATGTTCCACTTTTCAGCTTGGCAATAGTTTAAAGACGAGGCTTGGCAATATGATTCTAAAACTAACAAAGAATAAAAAAAGAAGGCTGGCCGGGCATTTAAAAGAAAATCCTTGAAACCCAATCAATTCTCAAAGCATTTTATCCCTCTATTGCAAGAAGTAAGCATGAAGTTTTTCTTGAAGTAGAGGTTTTCCCTCCATTAAACTGTAGGTTTTTTTTCCCCCTTTATTTATTTTTCCCTCTAGACAAGTATATTGCATTAAATGTCAAAAGGAGTAAATTTTAGGTACAAAACAAATGAGGGTATAGTATCAGGGACAATGGGTGAATAAATGCAAGACCCAAATAAATTAAGGAAAACAAACAGTTTGCTGATAGAAATTTACAGTTGCCTTGTGCAAACAAACCAAAATACGATGCAACCAGAATCTTCTTTTACTCATTGTTCCTCAGAACTATTCTCTTTGCTATAATCAGGAAGAACTAAGAAGTATAAAGCGCTATTGATGATTAGGGTTTTCTGTGAATTGCTGCTACTAACATGGATTAGGGTTTATGGGAGGATCTTTTCTTGAAGTTGCAAACCTACCACGTCTTCTTCTCAACGGTGAGGTTGAATGCTTCCCAACTGATGATGGCAGGACTTTTAGGGTCGATTATCAAAGTACGGCATGCAGGGAATCAGTCCTTAAATCTTGCCTTGTTGGATGCTTTGATAGAGATGTGGGAAGCATCGAGTCGATCGAGATGTGGGTGGCGCAAAATTAGAAGATCGCGTGTAGGGTTACGGTTTCAACCATGCCTGATCGTCTTCTTCTGTTCAGATTACCATTGGAGAAAGAGGCACAAAGAGTCCTTATCTCTGGTAAGAGGACATTGGGAGCTGCTACTTTGGCAATTGATGTTTGGTACTTTGCCATCAGTTGCTCGGTGGTGAGAATAAGGGAAGACGAGTGGTGATGTATGGATTGCCTCTTCGTCTTTGTTGTTAGAGGTTGTTCGAAGCTGTAGGGAATATGTGCGGTGGTTTTAGAGGTGTGGAGATGGATGATATGGTGGTAGGAGAGAGAATTACTCTTTTTGTCTCCGATGAAGTTGTGATCCCGGAGTTCATCTTCGTTGAAGATCAAAGAGTGGCTTTCAAAGTTGATTTAAGGGAGGAATCTTCATCATAAATCTTTCCGAAAGCTTCATTTGACAGATCCATACCACAATGTCGCTTTTCTTTTGAATCTCAAGGACAGGGACGCGTGAGACTTCATGCGCCGTCTGCCTTACCACGTGGCAGACCACGTGATCATTCAGAAGTTATGAAACAATCCAACTTTGGGCCTGGGCTGAAGCATAGGTCGCATAGGCCCATGGCTAAAGGGTCCTAGTCTGGGCCTAGTGTATCTCATATCAAAAGGAAGGTTCAGCGGGGCTTTCATTATTGTTTGTCCATCTCCCTATCATTTTCCAAGCCCAGCCTAAATGTTTTGCCAAGGTCCAGTAGAGGAAACCCAGCCCATTTTCACGCCCATCATTTATCAAAGTATGATTCCTTTGCCTTCCATCCATCTGTTCATCAATACTGGTCAAAGGCGGAGAAGACGAGATGGAAGCAGATCAGCGTAGGCAAAGGAGGTTCAAGCACGAAAAACATGACTTCTCGACATGATTTGTGTTGTTGTAACACGAACACAACAAGGCTAATCTCTGCCCCTTATTCGTCGGATTATAGAAGCTTCAACAGTGCATATCGGACTAAGTAGGGAAAACTGCACCGCCATGGTAATCGATTGACCCGCCATGAAAAACAGAAGTGGATTGCTTGATCTACCACTCCTCTGGACCCAGGGATGCCCTCTGTCACTCATTTTCGGAACTACACTCCTTCTCCTTCTTCTACTACTTCTTGTGGGGTGTTGAGGAGTGGTGTTGGGATGGAAAAGGGGTGTGAATTGTCGAATCTATCTATGGTACCTGAAATTGAGTCTGGGATGTGCTCGGACGCGCCGGCCGATTCCGGGCCTTTTCTTTCTGGGTATATTGAATCAGATGTTAATACTGATATGGAACCGTCCGCTGGGGTAACGGTTTGTGGGTCGTGATATTCAACTTAGATTGACTGGGGAGTTTGCAATGGCTTTGTTTAAAGAGCTTCACCTTCGTGTAGCTCTTAAAGGTTTAAATTGTTTGCCACTCGGAGGGCTAAGGGAGATTGCTTCACATAGTTTGGTGACTCATGACATGGGTGATTCTGATATGGATACAGATACGCAGACAGACTTGTATGCTAATGGTAAGGAAAACGAAGAGGAGAAGAATGAAGTCTTGCCTCCCATTCAACAGGCATGCTCTAATGAGTTAGTCCCATGGTTAGAATCGGAGGAACCATTGGCTGTGATGCGACTAGATGGATCAGAGATGAATGCTGATATGGGTAAGGATATAGGTGTTACTAGTGAAGAGCTGGGTGTCTCTTCAGAGGGCAAAGGTGATCAGGCCCTGGCCATTCTTCACGCAATTGTGGAAGGGAGAGAGGTTGCAAAGAATATGCAGGGCACGAAAAAAGTCAAAAGTAGGAGACCTTTAACGTCTTGGAAAGCGGAGCAGGAGTTTAAGAACCTTATCTCTTATGTTAACTATGAAGGGAAGGATGGGGTGGCGAGGGAAAGGAGAAGGACCAGAAGTGGGAAAAGGGGAGGAGGGGAGATGATTGTTTATGGTTCTTAATGGAGCTACAAATTATTACTTGGAACGTTTGTGGTCTCAGTGATCCGGACAAAAAGAGGGTGGTTAAGGTAGCTGCGAGGAAGTGGAGTGCCCATGTAGTTTGTTTGCTAGAAACTAAGATGGCCTCTATTTCAGATGTGGTGGTTAGGAGTCTTTGGGGATGAAGGTTCGTGGAATGGGAAGCGCTAAACGCCTCAGGTACCTCTGGTGGAATCCTAGTTATGTGGGATCGCAGGTGGCTGTCAAAGATGACTATATGGAAGGGGAGTTACTCTCTGTCGTGCGTGTTTAAGATGTAGGAGGACAATTTCAGATGGGTATATTATGGGGTTTACGGCCAGTTATCGACATGAAAGACCTTCCTTCTGGGAAGAGCTTTGCTATGTTAAGGGACTATGGTCTTTGCCTTGGTGTCTGGGTGTGGACTTCAATTCTGTTAGGTCTCCGTTTGAGAGATCCACAGGGGGTAGGTGGTCCTCGGAGATGACCTAGTTTTCAGATTTTATTGATGGTCACTTTTTTTTTTATTTGCCAATGGAAGGGGCATCCTTTACTTGGTCTAATGGCAGGGATCCGGTTACTTTTTCAAGGCTGGATAGATTCCTGATTTCTGGGGAGTGGGAAGAGAAATTTCCGGATGTTGTATAGGCAGCTCTTGTAAGGGTGACATCCGATCATGTTCCCTTAGTTTTAGATTGCGGGGGTTTGAGATCTCGGTGCACCCCATTCCGCTTTGAGAATATGTAGTTGAGATTAGAGGATTTCCAAGGAAAAGTCCAGTTTTGGTGGGAGGAGGCAATGGCCACAGGTTCCTCTAGTTTTGTATTAGCCAGGAAGTTTCAGATCCTCAAAACTGAGCTTAAGAGGTGGAACAAGGAGGTGTTCGGGAATCTTGAATGGAAGAAGAATGGAGCTCTTGCCGATATTGTTGAGATTGATCGTCTTGAAGAGTTGGGACAGGATGTGGAGTCTCTGCGCTCTAGGAGAGCCTCCTGTCAAGCGATTTTTGCTGAGATCGCTACTATAGAGGAGATTTCGTGGCGCCAGAAATCTCGAGCTTTGTTGTTCAAAGAAGGGGACCGCAAAACGAAATTCTTTCACAGGCTTGCTAATGCTTTTAGAAGGAGTAATCATATTAGGTGTATTCGTGTAAATGGTTTGGAGTTGTGGAGGGAGGATGAGGTGCGCGGGGGGATTGATTCTTTTTACCAGCAGCTTTACACTGACACGTTAGGGTGGAGACCTCAGCTTGACGGTCTCCACTTTGATGCTATTTCTAAGTTGGATAGAGACAAGCTTGAGGTTCCATTTACTGAAGAGGAAGTGATGAATGCTTTATCGAGTTGTAATGGTGATAAAGCTCTTGGGCCAGGTGGGTTTACTATGCGGTTTCTTATGGAGAGTTGGGAGGTGGTGCAAAGTGAGGTGATGCGTACCTTCTAGGAATTTCATTCTCATGGCATGTTCGAGAAGTTATTAAATGCCTTTTTTATTGCCCTTATTCCTAAGAAGGGCGACACGTTTGATATCAAGGACTTTCAGCCAATTAGCTTAGTGGGATGCATTTACAAGCTCATTGCCAAGGTTCTTGTTCTTAGGATGAGTAATGTCTTGGATGGAATTATTTCGGAGTCCCAGAATGCTTTTGTGGGAGGACGGTAGATCTTGGATTTTGTTCTTATAGCAGGGGAATGTGTAGGCTCCAGGTTGAAGAGTGGGGTCCCTGGCGTTTTATGCAAACTTGACATTGAAAAAGCTTATGATCACGTCAATTGGCACTTCCTTCTTTACTTGCTTCAAAGGATGGGGTTCGGAAGTAGGTGGAGGAAATGGATCGAAACATGTATTTCGTCCGTCAAGTTCTTTGTTCTTGTGAATGGTTCTCCTGCTGGTTTCTTTGCAAGCTCTCGAGGTTTGAGACAAGGAGACCCCTTGTCGTCTTTTCTTTTCCTTATAGTCATGGAGGGTTTGAGCAGACTAGTGAGGAGAGCGGAGGATTTGGGTCTTATCAGGGGTTCAGAGTGGGCTGAGATGTAGCTCATTAGATTGAGATCTCCCATTTGCTGTTTGCCGATGATACCTTGGTTTTTTGTGATGCCGATGTCTCCCAACTTAGATATTTGAGGTGCATTCTTGTCTGTTTCCAGGCGGTTTTTGGGCTAAAGATCAATGTTTGAAAGAGTGTGCTTGTCTTGGTTGGGGATGTCCCGAATATTTCCTCATTAGCTGTAGTTCTTTGGTGTGGAGTGGGTGCTTTTCCTCTTTCTTATCTAGGATTGCCTTTGGGGGTTTCCTCGAGGAGGGTGGGGAGTTAGGATCCGGTAATTAATAGGTTTGAGAAGAGGTTTGTAGGATGGAAGAAGCAATCTCTGTCGAAAGAAGGGGGGGGGGGGGGGGGGGGGTTTCTCATCCCTTCCCACTTACTTTTTATCTTTGTTTAAAATCCCATGCTTTGTTGCCGAAAGGGTTGGGATGTTTTTTCCTCACATATTAGATTCAAGGTTTGTGATGGTAGGCGCGTCCGCTTTTGGGAGGATTTATGGTGTGGAGATCAGTTGTTGTCTTACTCCTTTCCTAGACTTCATAGTATTGCCGAAAATAGGCACACCTACGTAGCTGATTGTTATCGGCTTGATAGCAGTGGGATTACATGGGATGTTCGCTTTAGGCGTTATTTTCAGGATTGGAAGATGGATGAGGTATCTGCTTTTCTGGGTTTGTTGTATCAGCAGAAGGATGTTGGCAGAGGTAGTGATTACATTTTGTGGGTCCCTTCCTCCCGGTAGATTTGGTGTTCGGTCCATGTACTTTTGTCTTTCCAACTTCGTTGCTCTTGCTTTCCCATGAAAGACTATATGGCACTCTAAGGCTCCACTTAGAGTAGCATTCTTTGTTTGGACTGCTGTTTGGGGCAAGATTTTGACGTTGGACAAATTGAGAAAGAGAGGCAACACTATCGTTAATTGGTGTTGTTTATGCGAACGAGACGGTGAGTCTATGGATCACATTCTTATGCACTGTCCTATGGCGTATGATTGTTGGAACCTTATCTTCGGTGTATTTAGCGTACATTGGGTAATGCCTTAGTCTTCCAAAGGACTGAATGAGGATGCCCAGTTAGAAGCCACGCTCGCGACTATTGGAGGATAGTTCCACACTGTGTTTGGTGGTGCATATCGAGAGAGAGGAATAGCAGAATTTTTCTGGCGACCTTGAAAATTCATATTCTTTATATTTTCTCTTATGTGAAAGGAAGCGCTTGCTCCTCGATTGATGACTTAGTTGATCTTTTGGACTCTATAGGTCCTTAGGTTCAGCTTTCGTTTTTTGTATTTGGGACGCGTTCCCCTTTTGAACGCTTTCTAATTGAATATTACTTATCAAAAAAAATAAAATAAAGCGCTATTGATTTTTGTTATCTCATATACACACATTGTTTGGAGTCCTTAATACACATTATTTTAGTTATAAAAAGGAGAAAATTTTCCGGTACAGGTCAGTCTATAAGAGAAATCATTCTCTGCATATAATGCAAAAGGAACACTAAACATTAACATAGGATTACATTAAAATTCACCCACAGCGTGGTGATGCTTGTAGCTGCACCCACAATTGCAGCAATGAACTTGTGAATTGGCCATTGGAGTGATTTAGAAGGACTAACAAATAGAAAACAGGGTATCATAGAAGTACTTTGAGCACAAAAATACTTTTTTAATTTATGCACAAAAATATTTTCTTCCCTAGTTCTCAATTGGACAAGTTTAAACTGAATTCTTTCATCAGGCTTCTATCTTTGAGCCACTCTCTCTATATACTCCGGAATAAAATTAATAGGCATATTTAGTATGAGGTTTATTGATGGTATAGTATAAGTCCAACAAAATTAGAGCAGGAGTCAGCTTGAGATTATCATTATGGAGGGATAGTCTGTACTGTGGCTTTCTGTTTCAAGAGCATGTTTAGATAGACTAGAAGGAAAGGAACTTCTGTACAATATGGAGTTAGCATGAGATTATCATTATGGAGGGATAGTCTGGACTCTTTGTTTTAAGAGCATGTTTCGATAGACTAGAAGGAAAGGAACTTCTATACAATGCGGAGTTGTTAAAAAATTTGATCGCCATCAGAGCTGCAAATAAATCAAGTCAAGATGAGCCCCTAGGGGCTTGGTGATGGAGGTAAGGTAAGGGGTTGGGTTCTAATATGTCCCGGTTTCGAACCCCAACACCCCCATTATAATCCTTGATTTAATCGGTGTTGTTGTTGTGGGGCCGGTTGAAGCACCCTTGGTTTGTAACTTGGGGTGGGTCCAAAAGGCCCTGCCCAAGGGAGTTCCGAGTTTCAAAAAAAAAAAAAAAAAAATCAAGTCAAGATGAATACTAACGTGTTTGAGCTGGGATCAAACATGCTGCGAGTTTAGCTAGTTGCGGTCGGGTTTGTTTCAGATGTAAAAACAAGTGTAGCAAACTAAAAAGAAACTTGCTGGTGGTGGTCTCAATGGTAAAAGAAGAAAGTTAAGAAACTATTGTTGTGGGCATCAACTGTTTGAAAATTAAAAAGGAGAGCGAAGATTGAATGATTATGAATAAAAAAATCCGATATAAGCCGTGAAAATTAAGAGCTTTAAGCTTTCATTCCCATGGTCTAATTATGCTTGAGGTTTTGGGCCACTGTGGCCTCCACTACTATGCCTTTTTGGCTAATTTCGGAATGCCAATATATTCTTGCCCCCAAAGTGCATGAAAAATATATAAAAAATTGAACCAGCAGTAAACTAATTACACTTTTTGGAGCCCCTTTTAGATTGCATCATATGATCTCACCCACTTGAGCATGTACAAATTTTGTGCAGTAAGATATAAATTAATCATGGTTTAGTTTTTACGATATCTTCTGTCCGCCTTAAATCTTACAAGAGTTTCTTAGAAGTGTTGTATTGCTTAGAAGTGTTTGAATGATGTGCAAACTTGGATCCTTGATACTTCTCTCTGAGTGCTCTGTGGCCTTGGATCCTTGATATTTTCTTTTGAGTCTTATATTGCTATCTGATCTAGATGATGAGTAATTCTGTGCTATGTTCTGAATGCCAATCCGCTGATAAATCTTAGGAGGTCCTATAGAGTATTAATTTTAGTTAGAGTGACAGTGGTTTAGTGCTGCATTATGCTTAATGAGCATAGCACAGTTACTATTAATTTTTACTATAATAATTTCGCATTGAATATTTTGGCCATTAACATCTTATATCCATCAGAGGAATGGCCAATTACTTGTCTTTCATACAGCTATTTTACTTTCTTTTTCACATTACTTGAACTTTTTCTGAAAGGTATCTCTTGCAGGATTTTATACCACAAATTGGACCGAAGTATAGAGCTTATGAAGTTGCTTTCTTCAAAAAAGTTAAAGGTACCTAAAATGAAAAAAAAGAAGGTTAAAGGTGACTACATGACTTTGTTAGTATATACACCCATGACTTAAAGGGCCATTGCTCATTGTTGATCACGATTGTGCATGTGGTGGGAGAGGGAGCTGATATTGGCCTAATATTTGGCAAGTTTTTACGCGAAGTGGTTGTTTTTAGATTGGAACCCACGTATACATGAATGCCTATAATGTGTTTTGTCATTTGAACATGTGGTTTATGAAGTTATGCATTTTAACTGGATTTTGGAACATATAATTTTTCTTGGGAGAAAGGCCAAAGATGTAACGAACACCAGTAGAAGTTATATCACCAATATTTTGGTTATTTTAGGGGCTATTGCTTAGCGCAGTGGCTTCAGCTTTCGTGTTCCTGCGAGTGGGAGGACACCTGCTTCCGACCGAAAGCTTTCTACTGCAACAAAATAAACTATACACCTATGTACAAAGGCCACATTGAGACGGCGGCCGTTGACCACATTGGGATGTACAAAGCCGTCCTAAGTTGCCAGGCATGAAATTGGGATTTGGTTTTGGAATAGCCACTTTTTAATAATACCAAAGGTTAGGTATGTGCCAAGTTTAACTTAGAAAAAAAAAGGTATGTGCCAAGTCTACCCCTCCCATCACCCTTGATTATTAAGACCGTCTTGGCACCCTGTTATTTTTGTGCTGTAGTCGGTTGAAATGTGGGCAATGACTCGTCACGGATGTGATTTGTCTGAGTGGATCATAGTTGGACACTTTACCACCTGGCCAAATTATCAGTATGGGAAGTTGGTTGAGTCTTTTGACTAATGGGTTATTTTGGTCTTCATCTCTTTATTATGTGCTTCTTTTTATAGATGAGTATACAATTGCAAGAGAACACCCAGCTGTGGCTGGTGGAGTTGCTGTTACAGCTGCCTTCCTTCTTATGCGAGGTATGAGTTTTGGTCTTATTCCTTGCAAATATGTTTTACCAATTGGTCACCTAATGTATAATGATGCATCTAGCACTTTTTATTTATTTTTATTTTACATATGCAATTCAAACTTCTGGCGCACTGGGAGAAATGAAGCACTTGTTGCCCCCTCCCCCTTGGGATAGGAGGGGGTGGGGAGAGGGACAAGTTTTGCATCATCATATCATTTGTTTCTTGCCTATGTGTTCGATATTTGCAGAGAATCTGATGTATTTCTATTTATTTTATATATGACGGTATTAGATTATGATTTTGTGTAGCCAGCATCAGCTAATAGGGATTAAGGCTTTGTTGGGTTGAGTTTTGTATAATCAATAAATCTTCAAACTTCCATCTAGAAGGTGACTATATCAAGCATTAAATTATTGGAAAGCCATAGCGGAAACTTCAGCTTTGAGTTCCATGGTGATCCTGGGTTTTAACTTGAAAACAGGAGTTAAAATAAGGTGCTTACCCCCATACGCCCACTGACAAAAACAAAGGCGCTTACCCCATACCCCATGAATATATCTTATGTGGTATATTACAAGTCTTTTGACAAAGATTCGTTCAGGGATCATGTTACCCATAATGTGTTCGGAATTCCAGGAATGTTGACATGACTGGTATCAGTCAATATTTTAATGTATTTTATTGAATATTTTAATGTGTTTTGATGTAAATGATAACCTATAAATTGCATTTAAAGGTTCTGTCTGTGGTAAAAGTTTACTAATATATTTTTGATGGATTTTATTGAAAATATGTACAACTCCAAATAGTTAGGATAATACTTTGTCGAGTTGAGTTGTATTGTTTTGCTGAAAGATTTTGTTTAATTTGCATGGTGAGTGATACAGGCAAATATTAGGGTAAGGTGGTTTTGACAGCGAAATTCGTTCCAGCATTTCTTGAAATTGATTGTAAAACATGTTATTATGGAGTATTGCGAAGGATGAAATTATTCTACACTTTTCAAATATTATATTCCTAAAAAGGGTATCTAACAATATTGGACAGAGAATTAACTAGGCCCTGAAAGACACAAGAGGAAGGATAGAAAGTTAAAGACAGTTAAAAGTTTTTTGTTATTTTACTTGCGGATTAGAGACTGAGAGGAAACTGAGGAATACAATTCACTGATGATAAACTAAGAGAACATGTAGGATTAACAGACTTCTTACAGTTATTTTGCATGAACTACATTTTTGTTTAATCTGCATGGAGAGTGATACAGACAAAAATTAGGGTAAGGTGGTTTTGACAGCGATATTCGTTCCAGCATTTCATGAAATTGATTTGCAGAACGTGTTATTATGGTATTGTGAAAGATGAAATTATTCTACACTTTTCAAATATTATATTCCTAAAAGGGGTATCTAAAAATATTGGACAGAGAATTAAACAAGGCCCTGAAAGACATGAGGAAGGATAGAATGTTAAAGACGGTTAAATTTTTTTTGTTATTTTGCTTGCGGATTAGAGATTGAAAGGAAACTGAGGCATAGTTGTTAAAGGCTCAAGGTGCCAAAGACCTTTTGGAGCGTAAGCGCAAGGCGCAATATAAGCCGCAAGCCTGATCAAAGTAAGGTGCGTGTATAATAATGTTGCATATTTAAATATATGTTATTTTATATATATATTCAGAATCAACCATTAACTGTGGTTAGTGTATGTAATGAACCATAAATTTTTGAATTTTGTCAAGTATTTCTTAAGGTTATACAATACGATATGTGATATAAATTTTTTTAATTTAATAGTCATTAAATAAAAAAGAAAATGATATAAATAAATGATTAAAAAATACAAGGCGTGCCTTTTTTGAGCCTACTAAAAAGTGTGAGCCTGATTGAAGGGGCTTGGTGTTACAAGGGGAACTAGTCCCACATCGGATCTGGGTGGAAGTGCTTATATGTAAGTGGTGTTATCGTCAATTGGTATGAGGCTTTTGGGGTAAAACACAAAGGCAAAACCGTGTGGGCTCGGACCTAAAGCAGATAATATCATACCATGTGGTGGAATGGGTTGTTACAGTTGGTATCAGAGTTAGACCCAGTCTTTGATCCAATGTCATGCCAAGTGCCCGACCCGGGGGCGTTCGGGTGAGCCCACCCGGGTAGGCAAGATGGCCCAACCGCAACGAGGGCATTGTGAGTTCAGGTGGTAGAGAATGTTACAAGGGGTACTTGTCCCACATTGGAGCTGGATGGGAAGTGAAATGGCTATAAATGGGTGGGTATGCAGTACCCAATAGCTTAAGCTTTTGGATAAATGAGCAAGCGTCCACCCGTTACACTTGGCCTGTACTAGGTTGAGGCGCTCTAGCTTAGCCTTGACAAGCATGGGCAAGCGTCCACCCGTTACACTTGGCTTGTACTAGGGGAGTCTCCTCCCCTTTAAAGGATCTCCTATTTTGCTACAGCCAAAGACCCCACCAAGCAAAGTCCAAGCATCTTGAGCTTGCTTCCCCACTATAAACCCTCTCCAAGCTTCGAGCCTGCTTCTCATGGAAAGCGGCATGAACCGCATGTCCCAACTCACTCCAAACAAGGCAAGGAGTAAGTCCATCCTTTCCTAGCCACTAGACAGTGCAAGAGGAGATGATCCACCGACTCCTCATCCCCTGTTAACAACCATCTACTCTAAAAGCTTAAGCTATTAGAGAGGGTGTAACTTTAATATTTAGATCCTTTAACACGCCCCCTCACGTGTGGCATTCGTTTTGGTTCAACACGTGTTATTCAATTTTAATTAGGGTGACGGTGAGGTTTGAAATTGAGACCTTTGGCTCTGATACCATGTTAACAACCATCTACTCTAGAAGCTTAAGCTATAAGAGAGGGTGTAACTTTAATATTTATATCCTTCAATATCCCTCTTACACATACAACACTAGTTAACAATAATTTGCATCCTCAGATTATCAATCGTCAAGGTCCTCCCAAGGCTCCTGTCCTTGCATTGACTACATTAGCAAGCAGAACAGAGGATTCTTAACAAAAAGGAGTATTCCAAGCAGGGAACAGAGGTTAGCAGTCAGTCATTTGAGCAGAATCTCACGAGTCAATGATTGAAGAAAAGTCAGGTGGTACCTGGATGGCAGAGGTACCTTTCATCATTAGTGGACAACTGCTGAGAAGTACTAATATAAACCATTACAGCGGAATCACTAGGAGGGGCACTTGATGGAACATTAGCTGCTTTGACATCCTGCTGCTGAGTAGTACTAGTATGGACTACATTAGCAAGCAGAACAGAGAATTCTTAACAAAAAGGAGTATTCCAAGCAGGGAACAGAGTTTAGCAGTCAGTCATGTAAGCAGAATCTCACGAGTCAATGATTGAAGAAAAGTTAGGCGATACCTGGGTGGCAGAGGTTCCTTCATCATTAGTGGACAACTGCTGAGAAGTAGTAATAATATAAACCATTACAGCGGAATCAGTAGGATGGGCACTTGATGGAGCATTAGCTGCATTGATATCCTGCTGCTGAGTAGTACTAGCATTTGAAGAAACAATCACTTGATTAGTCTGAGTAGCCCGTGATTTACCTATTATGTCATAGCATTTATCCATGGCATGATCTCTCCACCACAATAAGCACATCTACCTTTATCATGGCCACATCCCCTGTACGATGTCAATTATGATTTCTACCATAATAAAAAAATCACTGACCTCAAAAATCAGTATAAGTTCCTGCACTAACACTTTTTACTATTAATATGGCCACTTAAAGAATCCTCTTGACTTGCTTAATTGACCAAGGCAAAGTTGAGGCTTGAAATAACTGGAAGTACACATTATTCAATGAAGGAATGCTACCATCAATCAATATCTTCCCTCTATTCAACTGAAGAAAAGAATTAGTCTGGACACAAACCCCAAAAGTAGTTTCTTTAGAATTTCAATGTCATTAGTAAGAGAATAGTGCTAATTCAACTCATATCAGTATCCCCTTAAAGGCGCTGTAGTACTCAGACTTGTCTCATTTGTTGAAGGCTATTTATAACTCATGAACACAGTAGACATTCTTCTTAGAGAACATTTGTTAAACTGCAACGCAGATTTTCCTTACAGTATCACAAAACATAGCATTAGAACAAAAAGATGGATCTATACTATTTTATAGCCAAGTCAAGGCAATTCTTTGACTGCCATTTCTCAAACTCTGTACAGTTGCTAGGTGCAGATAGAATAAAAACGGCCTTCTTCCTATCATGTAGCTTGAATGCTTGGGCGCATAAGAAATATTTGCTACCATTATACTCCACTGTCATAATGTGCATACCCAAGCTGAAAATTTTCACTTCAATACCCTCAGCCATAATGTGAGTAATGGGAAAAAAAAAACCTAATTACTGAAACATCCCTAACATAAACAATGTACTATATTGCACAAGCCAACTTCTTTTAATTAGAAAACTCATCTATTTTATGATAAATCAGCAACCAATCCTCTGAATCAAACATACTAAACACTAAACAGGATGCTAAAACACATAATAGAAATGTATAATGAGGCATAAAAAAAGATGGAATCCATACATTGGTCAATCACTTCGATTCGACACAGGCCTCTTTTTATATAAATTCATTCAATCAAAATCCAAAAAACTGAATTCAGTGGAGTGAACCATAAAAAACTACAAAAAGATCACCAGCCTAAAATTTGGCAAACAATGAAATCAGATTTTGGGAAATATGATTTTGGCACATCAAAATGCCTAAACTTATCATGAACCAGCTATCAGGAGGCAATTTGTCCAATTCTATGCACTTTTCCTTACAAATTTTTGTACTGCACAGACTCTACAGACAGCTCTAAACTGTAATTTGTCAATTGTCTTCTCTCTGGTACCCTCTTTTGCCTGCACCTGCTGCCCTTTGCTGAAGGGAAATAGAGGAAAAGCTTTTGTGATTTGATTTCTCTAATCTGTCTATATATAATTCATAAAAAGATAAAATTACAATTATATAGTTTTTTCTCGTAATATTACTCAACACTTGGACAGCCATTTGGAGGATAGTTTTAACAGCATTTTTTTTAGTTTTGTTTTTTATAATATTTCAATTATAGTGTTTCTAAAATGTATATTGATGAAGAACCGAGCATGGCCTGAGAGTTTGAAGTACACATGGCCCACACCTACTATTGGAGACATGGAAAGATAGACGAATTAGGGATTTTTGTCTATTTATTATTATAATTATTTTAATAGTCTTTTGACAATTGACAATTTGAGGAAGAGAGGCAATTGGATTGTAATTGGTGTTGCCTTTGCAAATGTGACGGTGAGTCAGTGGATCATAGCCTCCTGCATTGTCAAAACATACCGAATAAACCAAATATGAGGATTGTTAGTTGATCTTTTATACTCTATAGGCCCTTAGGTTCAGCTTTCGTTTTTTGTATTAGGGACGCGTTCCCCTTTTGAACGCTTTTCTAATCGACTATTACTTATCAAAAAAAAAAATTTATATGTGGGTTGAGAACATTGTTAAGGCACCTTTTATGATTATTGATTATTATTGAGATTATGGTTGAGATTTCTTCCTCTATTCTTCTTCTCCTCCATGTTTTCTATTCTTTACCCTATCCTGCATCATATTTACTCTGAAATTTTATATTGAGTCCAAACAAGCTGTTCAACTCTCATGTATTTGTGTTTCTGCACATTATTTGGGGCAACAAGTCTAGCCTTCTGTGCATTGTTGTTCAGTGTTCAAAGCTTGATTGTTTAAACATATTATCCTCTTGTCAAGGGGTTCTTAAAAATCGTTCTTTGTGGATTTTGTGCTAAATGATATTTATTATTTATTATTATTATTATTTTTTATTTTTACACTTGAGATCTAAGACCTCGTCTTATTCACAGGCCCAAGAAGGTTTTTGTTCCGTCATACATTTGGTCGGTTTCAGAGTGAAGAGGTATCTCAATTACTTCTGTAGAAGTTTTTTCGACTGTTGAGAAAATGATTTTTATTTTTTGTGTTTATTGAATTTGTAAATCGCACAAAAATGAAAATCCACATCCTAGGTTCCATGTGCATTCATATAATGGTCATATCATTACAGTCTACTTTAAGCAATTTTGGGTTTTTGTAATAGAACTACATATTTTATCTGCAGGCACAATTTATTAAAGCCGAGAAGAACCTAAAAGAGTTGAACCTCTCTGTTGATCTAATGAAGAATGAGAGTAGAAAGTTGCTTGAAAGGGCTGCTCTTGCTGAAAAAGAAATGAAACAAGGCCACACTGAGCTCATGTAGTAGTAATTTTAAGAATTTTGAATGTGAGTTTAGCTAAATATATGTTAGTTGTCTTATCTAAATTTAGGAAATCTCTGCAGGAGTGCTGGAAGTCAAATTCAACGTCTTGCTAAATCAGTTTGCAAAGTTGAAGCACAAGCTTTGGGTAAGGGTTTTTTTATTTTATTTTTATTTTATTATTATTATATTTTTTCAATAATATACAGGGTAGTGGGACCCTGAGAGGGTTGTTGACCAGTTTTTGAAGCATTCCTTCTTCAAAAAAAAAAAAAAAAAAAGGCATTCCTTCTTCCCTAGCTGGTGGTTTGTTCCATCCTTTGGTTTTCCAGCTTTGTCAAGCCTTTCATTTCCAATGAGCATAAATACTTTTGGTGATTATATTCTTAAAAAATTCCAACATGGAGGTCCTTGTATTTTAGCCAGGAGAAAGGATGTATGGAAACTAGATTTTCTGGTACCATCTAAAGACATCACAAAGGAAGGTTGCTGATTATTTTATTTGCAGTTGATCCCATTTTAAATTCACCTTTTATTAAGCAATATTATAGAAAAAAGCTAAAGGAAAAATAAACGGTGAAGCACACATGCAAACACATGTTTTCACAAATTAGAGATGTGGGACAAACTAGTGATGCAACAAATTGGTAGCCTAGGCCATGAAGTGGCATAAATAGTTCAATGAATTTACTAAATATTTGGTTGTCAAGTTCATGATAGCATAGTTTTTCTTTGGTTCTCTCTAATTTTTTGACAGATTTGATGGATGGACTACGAGAAATTCCTGGGAGGGAGGCTTTGAAACTTAGAGCAGAGGTAAGTGGAGTGTCATCCCCATATTTTGTAGTCTGTCTTTTCTTATGCTATCAACAATCTAGTGATTCTTGATTGATGCCTTAATTGGGAATGCTCTCTCTCAATATCGATCAGGTTGCTTCTATGGGATCACTTCTTCAACAGCAGAGGATTGCTATGAACAGAAGGATTGTGAAGATTTCGGAATTAGGTGTTCCTGTTTGATGGATAATAAAAAATCCATACTAGGTGTTTTTCTTTTCCATTTTCCTTTCCTTAGTTTTTCTGGTCTCCATGGTCAACAGTGTTGAACAAGTATTGTGTATTTTAATAAGAGATTTTTTGAAAATCAAAGTTTTGTTATGGTCTACTGTATGCAACCTCTGAATTTTTGTCTAATCAATTGAGTAACATACAAATAAGCTATCCTTCTTCTGAGAATCTTCTCTCTTCATGATCATTCCTGACTCTCCCTACAAGAATTTGACTCAAATTTAATTTATGCATGATTGGTATTCCTTATGTTTTTTGTTTAAAATTTTCTGGTAACTGAGAATTTTTTGGAAACAAACCATTTATATGATATTAGCGCACACATTTTCCTCCAAGCAGAGCCTGAGAGGTTTGTTTGGTGAGATTATGGACTCCCTAGTTTCCCCTAATTGTAAGTTCTTCCTATATCATGAAGTTCTTAGTGTACTAGAGTTCAAATTATCTATAGGTCCATAGCGATACTGGAAATATCTATTTCCATGGGTTGACTCTTCTCTCGACACAAAGAAGTGAGACCATAACCAAGAAAGCAGGCTGACTACACAATCTTATTGATTAGATACATTCACGCTGGGTACGCATGATGTTTTCATTATTTCTTTTACTGTGATCCACTTTTTTCAACTAACTTTTTTAGTCTCTTCGCGCTCAACCCCCTAGATATTTTACCAGCAGCGATAGAGTTTTTCCTTTAATACTAATCTCTCAAAGTCTTCCGTATCAATGCTCGTATTAGGTTTGGCATGCAATTTGGTTTTAGATTTCTTAAGTTTTTCATGAACTGAATTTTCGTTAAGTGAGAGTTGGCCAAATAAGAAAATTGTCAAATCTGATTTAGAAATTCTGGCCAAATCCTCTTACGTTGCCAAAGTGCATTCAAAGAATAATGGTGGTTGGTTATACTCCCTCATAGATGCACTCCTATCCCATCTTGTTATTTCTCTATGTTAACCTAACACCATTATTGGAATGTCCTGCAAGTTTGACTTTTCAATGTAGGACATTGTACTTTTAGTTAGAGATGGGGGGAGAGCTTCTCTCTAGGCCTTCTCTTCTAAAATTCATTTCAATTTCCTTTCAATCTTCATGGCTTTATCAGGTTCAAAGGGTTTGTGTTTGGTATCTCGAACATCATGATCCAACATGTGTCCGGTTCTATAAAGCATGGGTAGACATAAATTGCCATATCCGTCCCTTAATTTTTTAACAAATGTAGTATCGTGTCATGTCTTTATCCCGTATTCTTTCCTCTTCTTCATGGGTAGCATGGACTTTTTTCCTTCCTCTAGAGAATCACAACACTTTTATTCGGGCTCAAGGGTTTGAATCTTCTAGGTTCTCCAGTGGTGTTAGGCTGACTGGAGAGGTAGTGGTCAGTATGGAGGTTGAAAAGGAGTTGTTGGCCGATCAGTGAAGTGGTCAAATTTGTTTAATCGTGATGTAGAAGACGGGAATGGAACTATTATGGTGTTCCAAGTTATTTGAACCAGTGTAAAATGAAGGATGAAAGTATTGGCTTCTGCAAGGGACGTTTCTGATGAGGGTCTCTTAGATTAGGATGATTCGGTTGGTTACTTCATTGATAGTAAGTTGCCATGTCGCGCTAATGATGAACTTTCAGACAGACTATGGGATCAAGAATGCCTCATTGGAGTTCTATCTAGTGAAAATGTTATTTTTTTCTTGAAATTTAGTTATAATGCACCAAAGTACAGTGTCCTTGTGAAAGTACCATGGAACTTCTCGAATGGGCACCTGGTCATGAAAATATGGTACCTTAGATTGAAGCTCTTCTTAAAGTGGCACTACTTTAGGATGTTTTGAATACAATTATAATCTTGTTGTGGTTATACCACATTTCCTTGAATATTGGAAGGCGAAAGGGCTCAGATACACTGCTAGTGCTATCGGGCAACTTCTCTATGTGGACTTGGCCAATGAGAGGAAGAAAAGAATCATTTATGCGAGGATTTGTGCAGATTGATGCTTCTTGGGAGTTGGTTGAGGTGTTCAATCTGGATTTCGGTATAATAGAGATTAGAGAGATTCGAGTAGAGTAGCTGTGGAAACCAATAAGGTGCTTGAATTATAAAATTTTTGTGCATACAAGTAAATGATCAAAGTGGCGAGAGGGAGAAAGGAAAAGGAAATCCAGAAATGACTTCCGAAGATGATGGGAAAAAGGGAATGATTCCTGATTATGGAGGCTGGTGGTTCATCTAGGGCTGCTGGAGCTTTGGATTCTAATTATTTTGTAGAGGGATGATAATGCAGGGTTTAAATAAATAAAAAAAAAAGGCAGGAAAGAATAGGAAAACAGAGATCTCCAATGGAGGGACAAATTCTAGCATGGAACATGAGAAGATATCAAATGTGGACACAACTGGTGACAGAGGAAGCAGAAGTAGCATCAGTAGCAGCTAAGACAAGAAATAAAAGAAAGTAGTGAATGAGAATTGAGTTGAATACTATTGTTGTTATCTCAGCTTTTCAAGCTCCTCTTTCTATTAAGAATTGCATTCCTAACAAATTCCAAAACCTTGTGATAGCTGAGGATTTGTAGTTTGGATTCTTAAACCTTAAGCATAGCTGACACTTGACCTTAATCCACTTATATGGACAAGATTCTGGCTATAGATGGAGTGGTAATAATAATCATATTGATGCCAACAATGAGAAGTTAGATGATATTCACACTTCACAGAAATGTTCTTGTACTCCAATTCTTGGATTAGTTCATAGGAATCCAACTTCTTCAAGAAAAGAGAGTTCATACCTTTTTTTTGGCAACATCTTTACGAATGCTTCTCTAAATTAAAAGCTAATAGATTTATGCAGGTTTTTCCTGGGAACTATAGTAAGTGATTGAACAGCTTTTATCCGAGGAAGAAAGATACAGGCAATATTCTCCTTGCCCAGAAAAGATGAGGAACTTTTCTAGAGGCAGACCAAACAAAGGCCTATTAACAATATAACTGTTATCTGATTCAAACTTTTGGATATTCTGAATCTTTTAAACTGGATCAAAGCTTGTAGGTGTTTTTTTTACCATGTTTTCTGTTGTAGTTAATGGAAAACTTCTCAGGTGAATCTTTTTTTTTCTTTTTTTCTTTTTTCTTTTTACCTATCTGTGAATTGTATGAATGTGCCATCTGATATTGGGAGGAGAATGGTAGTCTCAGACCATCATTGAGTATCAGGGAAGCTGTGCTAGGGTTAAGACAACACAACTATGCTTTGCAGATGATGTCTAAATGTTGTGATGGAGATGTTGACCTTGTCATTGTTCTAAAGGAATTCTAACTTGTATAAGTACCATTTTAACCTTGACAAACGATACCATTTTAACCTTGAAAAATGATATAATTATGCGTTGCCAATGGGCCGTTCCACGCCATTGGCGGACTAATGCTATGTTTGTCTGGAATGAAGGATTGAGGAAGGATGGAAGGGAAGAGGGATAGAAGAAGCTTTCCTTGTTCGGTTGGAAGGAAGGGAACAGAGAGAGAGAGAGAGAGAGAGAGAGAGGAAACAAAGAGGGATGGCATCCCTCCTCGCCCATGTTGTTGAATATTTTTTTTCTCCATTCGAAATTGGGGCTAAAGAGGAGTAAAAGAAAGAAAAGCTACCCTACAAATATTGATTATCAATTTTAACTTTAATTACTTACAAAAATACTTGTTAAACCCAATTGAAATTCCCATACAATGAAGGTATATTGGTGAGAAAAATATAACACTTTTCTTTCTATCCTTCCGATCTAAGAAAAAAAAAGTGTCACCATATCCATCCTATCTACTAACCTTTCTATTTAACCAAATAAAAAGTGAGAGACACCTTCTCTTCCTTTGGAATGCCTCATCTCTCACTTCCAACTTCTATCTATTTTTTCATTCCCCTAACCAAAAAGAGAATAAACTGTGTAACATTTTACCATTGACTGAAGTTATATAATTACACGTTGCCCTGTGGATGATTCCATGACATATTTAGTTGTACAAGTACCATTTTACCCTTGATTAACATTATAAAATTAAAATATAGCAAATTGTTAAAATAAAAAAGAACAATACTAGCTTCCTCACCAGTAAAGATGAACTTCCTTCTCATCGTTGATGTGATACAATACTAAGATTACATTGACATGTCATTTTTAAAATTAAAAAAAAGTTAAGAAAAAGAAAATCTTATTTTTTTCTTTTATATTTAAAATTCAAAATAAACACGTCATTATATTATTGTTGTGTCACATTAACGGTGAGAAAGAAAAAAAAATTAAAGAGAAAAAAAAAGGCAATCCACATTTCAACCACATTGCCATTTTTTTTCTCTTTATATATATATATATATATATATATATATATATATATATATATATATATATTTTGTGGAAAAATTGCTCTTAATTAGGAGTTTTTTTTTGCTCTTAATTAGGAGTGTTTTTTTTTGACAGCTTAATTAGGAGTTCTAAATTACTTCATGCTTTTATTTCAAAATACCAATTTTTTTCTTAAATTATATAAGTAATATTTTCACTCAAGAAATTCAAGAAAATAACCCACTTTGAAACACGGTTTGGTCTTTAAAATTACTATGTCACATAATTTCAACTTAATAAAAACAAGGAGAAAATTTATCCTCCTTTTTCTTTTCCCAGGTTCATTCAGTTTGACAATTTCTCCTCTAGTCCATGTAGCATAGATACGGCTACATGACACAATACCATAAGACACGGATAAGTCGACGCATCAAAATTGTAAAAAGTAGGAGACGGGTCCACCTTGGACACGGCTAAATATAAATATGAATTTATATATACAATTATTCTACTATTTTACCAAAAGGCCTATGGTCTAGCGGTACAAGGCTCATACTTTCCAAAAGGAAGTTAAGGGTTCGAACTTCAGTGGAAGCAGTGTGTGTGAGTTTCCCAACTAGGAAAAAAAAAAAAATTTATTCTACTATTTTGTCAAAATAATGTTTTTCTTTTAAATGAACAAATATCATTTAGTGCTTTGCTTGTGATCATATGTGTATAATGTTAATTTTTCTTTAAGAAAAAAAGTTGAATATTTTACAATGTGTTCATATTATTTTCAAGATTACCGGATAGACTTCTATCAAGAAAAATTTGAAAGTTTCGGCAAAGTGTCCGAAATTGTAGGAAA